AGAGAGAGAGAGAGAGAGAGAGAGAGAGAGAGAGCGAGAGCGAGAGCGAGAGACGCGATGTCGTGGCAAACATACGTCGATGACCACCTGATGTGCGAGATCGAGGGCCGCCACCTCACCGCCTCGGCGATCGTCGGCCAGGACGGCAGCGTCTGGGCGCAGAGCGCGTCCTTTCCCCAGGTTTATCTCGATCCCGATCAAGCCATTTCATGAAGCATTGATCTGATCTTGTTGGGTGTTTGAGTCATCTGCTATAATATGATGTCTCGGCTTGCTATGTTGTTGACGAGTGATTCAAGTTCTGAAGATGGGATGTGGATAAGTATGGTTTTATGACTTGATCTAATCAGATGTGATACTATGAATCTTCAAGAAATTTACTTGCATGAAATAGCGCAGCATGCCGACTTGTTGGAAAGAATAAATCTTGTTAATATACAATATTATCTATGTTGGCAATGCTGAAAGATCGATGTTTGGTCACATTTGTTAATTCTAAATGTTGAAATTAAGGAGGATAGTAGTAATTGGTACGATCTTGAATGACAAATTTTCTTTTCCAGGAATTTCTTTCATAATTTTGAAAATCTGATTTTGTGCATTTGGTCTTCTTCTTTCAATCAGTTCTGCCCACCATGCCAGCGTTAGAATCTAGATTCATGTTTATGCTCACAACCCCAGTTATTGGATCTTCTATTATCAGTATGCCAGCATTAGAATCCAATGGTTACCGATTTTGTAAAATATTTGTTGCTTATTCGTAGAATTATGGAAGTTCATCAGATCCATGCTTATTAACATGTGGTAAAATATTTCTAATATTTTATCCATGATTCCTGATTGATTTCATTTGGTGATCCAACCAAAGCAGCCGACTAATAAAGTCCACGGACAAGATTTGTCTGCTAACATAATGCATATGAATGCTTGAATTGCTCTCCTTTGCACGTTGTTATTCTTCCATTCTATAAAGTGATGCTTCTATTTACTGCCGTCGGTCAGTTTAAGCCTGAGGAGGTCACCAATATCATAAATGATTTCAATGAACCTGGAACACTTGCCCCCATTGGCTTATTTCTTGGATCGACAAAGTACATGGTCATTCAAGGAGAGCCTGGAGCTGTCATCCGTGGAAAGAAGGTGATCATGCTATTTCTGAATATTTTTGATATCTTGTAGCTCATGCTGCAAACTTTCCTAGCTTCCTTTAGGATTTAGGATGATGATAATCTCTACAAATTTATCATATGTGTTGGATTGTTTGCTTGTAGTGGATTCGAATATTCTCGGTGGCCTCGTAGTTGCACATAAGATATTTAAATACGAAGTATTGCAATTTTTCTTCATGTTGACAGGCTTGAATTAATTAAATTCATCTGCATTATCGTTTGCGCATGAGGAGGCTATTAGAATTTTGTTAATGTGAGACATATGACAAGAGATGAATTTTCTTTATTATGATAATTGGTGGTAATAGCATCCTATGATGACCGAGTTTATGTTTTATTTGCACTTTTTTTCATGAGATGCCTTCTTTGATGGATCGATTCCATGTTGTTTAGTGTTGAGAATTCGGTTTTTGTCACATCTTGAGTTTGTTCCAACGGCATAAACTTGTAATATCTAGAAAATTTACTTTGATGTCTACTCTTGATCTCAGCACTATATATTGAGTTGAGCTGAAATCATTGGCTTGACATTTTGCTCCTTTTACTTTCTTTTCTTTACCCTTATGCTACTGCTTTCCACTAGCCATATATCCTGCGGCTGCCACTTCCATCATTGTTCACTGTTACTGATGATACTTCAGGAGTTCACAGTTTAGGGATGGAGAATTTGTTTCATCTCTTATAAATCCTGTACTCTGAATCTTACGGTTAAAAAGTTTGTCGTATGTATATCCATGGTAGCTAGTTCTTCCATGACATAACTTTTGGAGGTGTGGAAGTGCCTCGTCGAATGATTATTATCAAAATGTAGTTTCTGTGAGGTGAGAAAATTTTCATGACTACGTTTAATAGAATTCATCTTCTATTTCCTTGGACTGCTTTACTTTTGGTAAACTGAAAAGAGTGCAAAGCTTGCTATGGTGGAATTTCCATTGTCATACTTATATATCATAGCACAAACATAGGCCTGCCCGATAGTTTTCCCTGTGCTACAACACTTGTTATCTTAAGAAGCCTTCGGATCAGAGTTACATTGAGGTATTAACTTGTAAAGCAATTAATTTTCTTCTCCGGCGGCAGGGATCTGGAGGCATCACTGTGAAGAAGACAAACCAAGCATTGATTTTTGGCATCTACGACGAGCCAATGACTCCAGGACAGTGCAACATGGTCGTGGAGAGGTTGGGTGATTACCTCATTGATCAGGGCCTGTAGTTCATCGATTACCACATGCAGCTCATTTCCCCCCCTACAAATGGAAACGTAAAACTTCTCTACTAAACGGTTTTGGAAAATGACCATAGGGTAATAATCTGGTGAAGGAGCAGGAATATCGAGTCCATCTGAAGTTGTTGATTTTTGATCCCCCTTCCTTTTCTTGATCAAATGCCAGTCGATGACTTGAATTATTGAATGTATGCTCTTCTTGGTTTCTTATATCTTATCAATAATCCATTTCCTTGATTACACACACATGGTTTGGAAAGTATTGTTATGTGAGACTATGCCTGTTGATGATGAACTTGGTATTGCAACATCAGAGTGGTAGTGCCCTGATGCAATTACTATTTATTGCTTGCTGCTTGTGATTTGTTGAGTAAAGCCTAGCAACCAAAGTAAGGCTCTATCTATTGTTTTTGCATCATGATTGAACTGTAAAGTTCCTTTCAGCCCATACTAGTGTGTAAGCCACAGCAGCGATTAGACTCGTGCTATATGTTGTTTGCAATGTCCCAGAACTCATCAAAGCTCAGTTTCAAGGTCGGGTAGGCTGGGAAGAAGACACTGTGCGATTTCCCACAGGAAGGTGAAAGCTCAGAGGTATATGGGTTTCTGCTTTCCTCACAAAACGGTACATGCACATAAAGAAAGATACAGAGAATGTGTCCGCTACCGACTGCAGCTTCCCTGCACTGATCTGCTGGTCCAACTTGAAGATCGCAAATGAGTTTTGGCTGCACCAGGTGAGTGCAGATGGGCAGTGGATTATAGCCTGGTTCATGAGTCTGCATGGTCTCTCTCTCTCTCTCTCTCTCTCTCTCTCTCTCTCTCTGGGCTCCATCATCGTCTTCTTCCTGCTTCATGAGTCTGCATGGTCGCTGTCACCTGTGAAAAGAGCAAGTAGTGGGTGTTGTTCGGTAACTCTGTGGGCATTGCAGTTGCGGTCTTTGCCTCGTTATAGCTGCAGTGTGATGCTGTCCGGCAGAGACTCGTGGTGCCCGGTTTGCCTACCCCGTCGTCTCCTCTTGAGCTAGCCTTTCCTGTCCCCTCCTCGCACAAGATTACGCGGAGAGTGAGACGTGGTTGCACCATGTCGTATCCCCCCAGCAAGGATGACACCCATCCTGCAGAGAAATGTTAAGATGAGATTAATTGTGAACATATTTCAGAAGATGATGTAAGCAGCAGCATTTCTGATGTTGTTGGTTGCCAAAAGGCATGTTAATTTTGATGCTGAAACAGCAAATGCATGTTATTTTCTACACTTTAAAGGCACACAAGTCATGCTCAAAAACCACAAATTATGCACACAATATAAATGAAAGAGGCTATTATAAGATGAACATATCTCGAGAACATCATCATACCCGAGAGCATCTGTAGACACGGCTTCAGGTATTCATTCCAGTTTCATGAGGTTGAAGCGGACTCTCATGGTCTTGGATTCCAGTTCCAACTCCTCCCGGGAATGTCAAAAGGCTTATAGCATTTGTAGACAGGACAAGTGTATATTTGTACTGCTGAGAGGGAAGAAATCAAGAGAGAGAGAGAGAGAGAGAGAGAGAGAGAGAGAGAGAGAGACTATATATATATATAGAAGTAATAAATGATAAGTATAAGTCTTAAAATTTAAATATTATATGTAAGATAAAATTACTAATGGACTTATACATGTATACATAAAATGAGAAACATTACATTATTTATTAATCAAAGCCTAACTTGTGAATCCTATTCTGAATGTCTCAAGCCCCAATAAAGTAAGCCAATGATACCTATCACGTCAGCATTATATCCGATCATTTGAATCATTATATCCTAATGCATCAATTGTTTGAATCATTATATCATAATGGAGTGATTTTCGGAATCAAGTTAGAATATATTTCTTATGGTGAATTTATAAAAAAAACTTAGAGCTATATTAAAATATCCTTTTGTAACTTTGAAAATTTTCTATCATAATCGTAGCCTTAGTCGTACCTCCACCCATGTTTAGCTCGTCGGTCCTTGCCCTCCTATTGGCCCTCATTGTGGTTGGTCACAATACTCGTATTGAAGTATAGGCTCCTAGGGGAGGGGAGGGGGTCGTCGGGGTTTCCAGCCCATGTGTGAAAACGTATGCAACTAGAAGAGGAGAGGGGTTAGTCGATAGGGCTATTTTGCATGTTAAAACATAGGTGATGCGGGCAAGAGAGGAGGCGAGTGACATTGCTAAGTGAGAAGGGGGGGCGGGGTGTGGGGATATTGCTTGCCAACATATGCGCGGAGGCACAGATAGCCAAGGGAGGGGAGGGAGGCAATTAATGTTGCCTACTAGTTAACACATGGACGGGTAGGAGACTAGAGGATGGGAGAACGAGACCTGACGAGTGGAGTTACTAAGTACAAGGTAGAGGTGCGACGAAGGATGATGACCGAAAGGGGTAAAATAATTATTTTTGAAAAAAAGATGCTTTTTTGATGCTAAGCAAGAAAAACCAAAAGTTAAATTTTTTTTATTTTTTTAAAATTCGTCCTATTTCTTAATCATATATAAATAAGACTAACAGTATAAAGAGAGGCATTTGTAGGTATGATGTAGATTCTAATTACTCGATTATATACTTTATACCTATATAAGAAAATTGATTGAGTATCGAATGGATCTGGTTCGGTACATGCTCCCGACATATGATTTGAAGGAACCATCGACTTTTGATCATGAGTTAGGTTTTCAAGTCAAAGAGCCCAGAAAATACTGTTTGATGCACCCAACTTTAGTCTCCTCCTCACTTGAAAGTTAAAGTCAAAAGTTCCAACCAGCCAAGCCAGGTTAGCAACCTCAATTCAAAAAAAAAAGAAAAAAAAGAGGGCTTGATTAACTCAACATGGATCAAAAATTTGATGTATGAGTTAACCCACGCCTGAGACAAATTACTCAATAAGTTGGAAAGATGGATTGTTTAGTAAAGTTGTAGATAGCCAAGTCGAAAAGGGTTTCAAGAAGAGATTCGACCTATTTAAAGACTCAAAAAAGCGTTTTATAAGAACGTCGATCAGAGTATGGGAAGGGCCTATTCCAAGGCGATGAATAACTCATCGGAATGGTGGCCCACCTAGGACTTGTCGTCGGGCAGTGACGACGGACATGTTATATTCTATGTTCCCCGAATATAAGATTGCCTATGTAGCACATTGCATCCATAATCTTACGCTAACACAAGTATTGGAGTGTGAAGAACAAAAAGGAGGTTTTTACATCAGCTTGACTCAAAAAAGACCAGTGCAACAAAGGAAATCTACGATGTTGCAGCCCATCTACAAGCAGGCAGGCTATTACCATTTCTCCATCATTTGTTCATTCATCAAGATTTCCATCTAAAAGCATTCGCTCAGCATCTCAGTTGGACTAGTTTCAATTGATGTATCTACCAACCAGTTCAAAGAAAATCTAATAACATGTCTAAAGCATCAACCTAAAACACAACTTAGATAATACAATCTTGCGGATGTCGCTCACCAGCTGCCCCGCCTGTGAGCCGGGCTCCAGTGGGTCGGAAGACATCATGTCCCAGTGGTCAAACACACAATGGGGGAATGCCTGGCCCGATGTGGCTGCTCGCAAAGTAGTCGAGAATCCAAAAAACTCGATGACCGGTAGGTAAGCCTTAATGTTGCAGAGTGGAGTGCCTGGCCTCTGAAGCTCTTCAGAGACGTGACCTCGCTTCTGGTTTAGAACACCATAAATACCTCCCAAGGGCTTCCTCGGGAGCCTGGATTTCCACCAGGTACACGGGCTCCAAAAGCCTTGGTTTGGCTGTCAACTGGGCCGCATAGATGACCCTTGTCGCAGTCGGGATGATGACCTGCCCACCACCACCTCTATGGATAGCATCAGCGTGCAGAACAACATCACATACCTCGAAACATATCCCACGCATGTTTTCCTCCGCCACCGCTCCTTCGTTCGATGCCCACTGGAAACCAGCAACAACAGAGTCCTTGATTTCATTAAGGTACTGAATTCCCTTACACATATCGACAACAACCATGTTAGGACCTGTGGTCTCAGGACCAAAGCACCAAATCTTCTTCGCGAGATCCTTATCCCAACCAAACTCCTCTGACAGGATCTTAGAACGTGCTTTCGGATCATCTCTTGGACCGATACGCCCTTCATCAATTGCCTCAGCGAGTCCCTCCTCCATGGGCCGTGCCTCCATGTAAAGACGGTTGTGCTTGTTCGGTGACTTTGCTGCTCATCACCGTCCGACATGATTTCTCAAGCACAGTTTCTCGGAAGGACACAACAACTGGGTCAGACACCACAATTTCTGCCCCTCCCATAAAACCCTCTTGCAAATCTTTCAAGCATATCTCAAGGTGAAGCTCCCCAGCTCCAGCAACGATGTGCTCACCGGACTCCTCTATCGTACACACCACCATGGGATCAGATTTGGCAAGGCGTTTTAACCCTTCCACGAGTTTGCGAAGGTGCGATGCAACTTTGCATCGAACAGCAACACGTACAACAGGGGAGACACAGACTTTCATGGCCCTAATGGGATGCGCATCAACTTCCTTCTCATTTGTCAGGGAGGCATTCTTCTTGGTAATAAATTGATCTAAACCAACCATCGCCACTGTATTTCCACATGGCACATCCTCCACAGACTCCTGTTTTTTACCCATCCAGATGACGGTTCTTCGGACACTCTTCACATACCAAGTCTTTCTTCCGACCTGGTACATACATAGTAAGTACTATGGCCCCATGATACGAACCTTCATGCCAGTGGGGCGACCTTGCCAGAGAACACTCTTGCCAAATGCAAAGAACCTGCCCTCCTTATCCGAAGCAGGAATCATCTTAGACACATGTAGCATAAGAGGGCCCTCCGGATCACAATTTCCGATAGCATTGGCATATATATCATCAAGAGGACCCTCGTACAAGTTCTCTGGATATATACTTGTACATCACCAAGAAGAGTATCTACGTAGGTAGCCATAATAACATTAGCCTTCTCAATAACACGTTGGAAGGTCTGATAGGCTTCCTCCCCTTCAACCTGAAGCTCCAAAAAGCACCTATCCATCTTATTAACAGTCAATACAAGTCTAATTCTTTCTCCCAGAGCTTGTCTAAGAACAGTTTCGGTCTGGACACAAACGCCCTCGACACAGTCTACGACGACTAACGCACCATCAGTAATTCGGAGAAGAGAAGTCAA